AGAGAGAGAATGATGGAGAGAAACAAGAGACGCTGGAAGAAAACAGACAAAGAAATAGAGAAACAGGTAGAAAGAGAGACTGAGAGATGACATAGAACGAGAGAGAGAATCTAAAAAGTGATTTGCAAGCGAGCGAGCGAAAAAGAGAGAGAGAGGGGGAGAGAGGGAGAGAGAGAGAGAAAGAGGCACAGAGAGAGAGAATTATAGAGAGAAAGAGGAGACGCTGGGACAGAATATAAAAGGAAACAGAGAGACAGATAAAGGTGAGACATCAAGAGAACGAGAGAGAGAGAGAGAGAGAGAGAATGTGAAAATGATTTGAAAGAGAGAGAGAAAGAGAGAGAGAATGATAGAGAGAAACAGAAGATGGTGGAGAAAGACAGACAAAGAAATAGAGAAATAGGTTAAGAAAAAAAAAGACTGAGAGGTGACAGAGAACGAGAGAGAGAGAGACAGAGAGAAAGAGAGAGAGAATATAAAAATAATATGTAAGGGAGAAAAAGCGAGGGGGAATGATAATGAGAAACAGGAGATGCTGAAAGAGAAGAGACAAAGATATAGAGAAAGAGGAATAGATAGAAAGATGGAGAGATGACAGCGAGAGAGAGAGAGAGAGAGAGAGAGAGAGAGATAGAGAGAGAAACGGGGGACACTCAGAGAGGACAGAGGAAGAAATACAGAAACAGATAGAGAGAGAAAGATGGGGAGATAACACAGAACGAGAAAGAAAATGTAAAGATGATATGCAAGAGAGACAGAGAATGATAGAGAGAAACAGAGGACGTTGGGAAAGAACAGACGTATAAACAAAGAAACAGAGAAAGGGAGACATTAAGAAGGAGAGAATACAGAGAACGAGAGAGAGAGAGAATATGAAGATTATTTGCAAGAAAGTGAGAGAGAGAAAGAGAGAGAGAGTGACAGAGAAAGAGAGACTATTAAAGATAAAAACAGGAGACTGTTCTCTCCCAGCGTCTCCTGAGAGACAGAGAGAGCGATAGAGAGAAGGAAGAGATTCGGGGAGAGAACAGTTAAAGAAATGGAGAAACAGGAAGAGACAGAAAGATGGATGGATGACAGAAATTGTGAGAGTGAATGTAAAAATGATTTGCAAGAGAGAGAGAGAGAGAGAGAGAGAGAGAGAGAGAGAATGATAGATAGAGATAATAAGGAGATAGAGAGGGCGAGAGAATGAAAGGGTGATAGAGAGAGAATGACCAAGACAAAAAGGATACATTGGGAGAGACGGGAGTAAGAAATAGAGATAGAAAGACGAAGAGATGACAGTGGACGAGAGAGAGAGAGAGAGAGAGAGAGAGAGAGAATGTGAAAATGATATAAAGATAGAGGGAGAGAAAGAGAGAGACAGAGAGAGAAAGAGAGAGAGAGAGAGGAGACGTTAATAGAGAACAGACAAATGGAGAAACAGAGAGATACATTAAGACGGAGAGATGACAGGGAACGATAGAGAGAGAGAGAGAGAGAGAGAGAGAGAGAGAGAGAGAGCTAATATAAAAGAGACGGAGGGCGAGAATGAGAGAAAGAGGCAGGAGATGCTGGGTGAGAAGTAGAAGAAATGACAGAGAACGGGAGGGAGAAAAATGTGAAAATGATTTGTAAGAGATAGATAGAAAGATAGATAGATAGAAGGAGAGAGAGAGAGAGAGAGTGTGTATGTGTGTGTGAGAGAGAAAGACAGCAACGGGTGATGCTGGGAGAGAACAGCCAAAGAAACTGAGAAACAGCTAGAGACAGAAAGATGGAGACATGGCAGATACGTGAGAGAGAGAATTAAAAAAAAATGCAGTGAGAGAGACAGAGAGAAAAGGAAGAGAATGATAGAGAGAGAGAGGAATGAGAAGCTGAGAGAGAACAGACAAAAGAATATAGTTTGAGGTAGAGTTAGAAAGACGGAGAGATAACAGAGAACGAGTGAATGAATATAAAAATGATTTGCAAGACAGAGATAGTGATAGAGGATGATAGTGACAAATATAAGATGCTGGTTGAGAAAAGACAAAGAAATAGAGAAAAATGTAGAGACAGAAAAAGAGAGAGAAAGACAGAGAACGAAAGCGATAATGTAGAAATCTTTTGCAACATAGTGAGAGAGAGAGAGAGAGAGAGAGAGAGAGAGAGAGAGATTGTCAGAGAGAATGATATAGGGAAAAAGGTGACGCTGGGAGAGAACAATAAAATAGAGAAACAGGTAGAGACGGAAAGACGCAGAGATAACAGAGAAGGGAGAGTGAGAAAGAGAGAGAGAGAGAGAGATAGAGATAGAGAGAGGGAATGTAAATACCATTTTCAAGTGAGAGAGAGAGAGAGAGAGAGACAGCGTATGACAGAGAGACATAGAAAACCCTGCGAATGGACAGAGAAAGAAATATAGAAACATTTTGGGACAGAAAGACGTAGAGATGAGTGTGAGATTTTAAAACTGATTAGCAAGATATATATATATATATATATATATATATATATATATATATATATATATATATAGAGAGAGAGAGAGAGAGAGAGAGAGAGACCTAGGAAACGCTGCGATAAAATAGAGTAAGAAATAGAGAAACATTTTTAGACTGGAAGACGGAGAAATGAGTGTGAGATTTTGAAACTCATTAACAAGAGAGAGAGAGAGAGATAGATAGAGAGAGATAAAGATAGAGATAGAGATAGATAGATAGATAGATAGATAGATAGATAGAGAGAGAGAAAGAAAGAGAGAGAGAGAGAGACCTAGGAAACGCTGCGAGAAAACAGAGTAAGAAATAGAGAAACATTTTTGGACAGGAAGACGGAGAAATGAGTGTGAGATTTTGAAACTCATTAACAAGAGAGAGAGAGAGAGAGAGAGAGAGAGAGATAAAGATAGATAGAGATAGAGATAGATAGATAGATAGATAGAGAGAGAGAGAGAGAGAGAGAGAGAGAGAGAAAGAGAGAGAGAGAGAGACCTAGGAAATGCTGCGAGAAAACAGAGTAAGAAATAGAGAAACATTTTTGGACAGAAAGACGTAGAGATAGAGAGAGAGAGAGAGAGAGAGAGAGTGCGAGAGAGAGAGTGCGAGAGAGAGAGTGCGAGAGAGAGAGTGCGAGAAAGAGAGAGAGAGGGTGGGGTAACGCTGCGAAAGAACAGAGAAAGAAATAGAGGAACATTTTGGGACAGAAAGACGTAGAAATAAGTGTGAGATTTTAAAACTGATTAGCAAGAGAGAGAGAGAGAGAGAGAGGGAGAGAAGGAGAGAGAGAGACAGAGTGAGAGGGGGAGAGAGAGACAGAGAGAGAGAGAGAGATAGAGAGAGAGAGAGAGAGAGGGTGTAGAAATCCGAGAGACGCAGAATGACAAATAAAGAAACTGAGATTGAAAAGTAGCTTTGATTCCAACTGTTGGGAAAACGGAACTAGAATTCTATTCATGTAGCGTATAAATTCGAAATCAGAGTGGAAAGGACATTTCCGTTCAAAGCCGGTTTTAGTACGTTAGAACGTTTTGCCCCTATTCGCACTAAGTGAAACGTATGCATTGCCAGGAAGACTTTAGTTGAGGGCAAGGTTTTATTAAATCGGTGCAAGCAGGAAGGCGCTCGGAGCAGACAGGACTGGTCTTTATGAACAAAGGCTGAAGCCGTGGAACAAATCCAATAAAAATTTGGATGACATTCAACGAATTCTCTTTGTTAATTGCAAATAACAGTTTAACGGGGCTTAGATTGTCACTGCCAAAATTTAGTAAATGGAGCACAAACAGACACTGCTATATTTATATATAAGTACATATTGCAACAGTGAAATCTGCTCTTCTTTCTTCGCAATGTGTAATGGTTTCCAGCAGAAGGGCATGTGCGTATTTTACCAAACGTTGAGGGCTGGGACACGGGACCCAGAATTTATTTTGTCTGCCGATATCAGTATTACTTCATTCAGTAGGTTGAATCATAAATAATTTCCGCTTGGTTTCTGCTCATGTGTAACCGAAACATCCAGTTTGCTGTCTTTCTATTCCCGCCACGGGGAGGTAGCGACGAAAAATAACACGGGTCTCTGTCGAGGCCCCTCGATCTGAATGAGTAACATTCAAATCCATTAACGATGACCAACCAGAAGACAAGACTGGTGCCAGCAGCCGCGTATCGCATCAAATAGAAGGCTTTGGAAGAAAGCCCCATCAAAACTAGAAAGAGCGATAACAGCTATTCGACTTGAGAAACCTGTCCTCCACAGATAAAAAGAGTTTTAAGAGAATGATTTTATAAATTTCAACCAAATTAAGTACTGTCTGCACGGCGAATGCCAAACGTCTCCTTGTAGAGTAATTTCCATTGATATTACCATTTTTACCATTCATATTACCATGCATATTACAATTTAACTATTCATATTAGCATTCATACTACAATTTTATCATTCATGTTACCATTCATATTATCATTTTACCATTCATATTGCCATTCATATTACCATTTATATTACCAGTCATATTACCATTTTTACCATTGGTATTACCATCCATTCTACCATTTTACCAGTCATATTACAATTCATATTACCATTTTATATTACCATTTTACCATTCATATTACCATTCATGTTAGAATTTTACTATTCATATTACCATTCATACTACTATTTTACCATTCATATTATAATTCATATTATTGTTTTATCCTTCATATTACCATTTCTATTACCATTCATATTACCATTTTACCATTCGTATTACCATTTCTATTACCAGTCATATTACCATTTTTACTACTCATATTACCATTTTTACCATTCATATTACCATTCATACTACTATTTTACCATTCATATTACCATTCATATTACCAATTTGCCATTCATATTACATTTATATTACCATTCATATTACCATATTTACAATTCATATTACCATTCATATTACCATTTTACCATTCGTATTACCATTTATATTTCCAGTCATATTACCATTTTTACCACTCATATTACCATTTTTACGATTCATATTACCATTCATATTACCATTCATACTACTATTTTACCATTCATATTACCATTAATATTACTATTTAACCATTCAGATTACCATTTATATCACCATTACCATTTAGGATGTGAGTGATCATGGTTCTCCTTAGTTTCCTTTCTCTTGCTACTTTCAGCAATACTTTACCAAACTATTTTTGCAGCATATTTCTTTCACCCATTTGCCGAAACTTGTCAGTGAGCTTATGGATGTTTTAATAGAATGATTTGATAAATTTCAACCGGAATCAGTACTGGTTGTTTGGTCAATGAACGCCAAATGTTTCCTTATAAAAACCCATATTACCATTATCATTTTAAGTATCGATATATGGCAAATTGTGATATGTTCAACACGCTGACGGCCAGACCTCAATTATGAAACTTGACTACGAATGCCAACTTTATAACAGCCAACTTAGGCAATAAATAATTTTTATGAGTTGATTTAAAGGCCTCAACTGAAATCTTTACATTGTTTCCACATTATAAATAAAATTGCAAAGAAACACGTTGTTGGAGCCTGCAGATTAAGATGTATCAGAATTTTATCGCGGATTGCTTTCCATTAATCAGTTTAGAATTTCAGCATCAAACTCCGATGAACGCCCCTGTCTGGATTTATCCTCCAACAACGTTTCTACAGAATGGGACTTTGCAAACCAAGAAGTCTCCGTAGAGTTATTCCTTTGCATGAATTCCCCATACCATTATGTGACGTAAATGAATTTTCAATGACTTCATTAGAAGGGTTAAGAAATTAATTCTTTAATCGGCTGTGTATGCCGCTACGGCAATAAAAAAAAAAAAAAACGAAACTAAGTTATTCAAGGTACGGCCGAAATATATTCTACATTTTAAAAGTTGACAAAAAACACCAAAGTAACAGCTATTAAAAAATATATATTTCACTGTTGATTCAACAAAGGGCTAATGTTTTTATTCATTTGCTTTTTAAAAATGGCATCCTCCAAGTCGTGGTCTCTATTCGCCATACAATGTTGTAGACAATTTCTAAAGTTTTCCGTCGCCCGGAAGTTAGAGCGCTTCGAGGTCTTCCAGTTGGTTTTCTTTAAAGCACTGAACCTGTGACCCTGAAGTTTTCAACCCACGCCAGTAACAATTTTCTATCCGGAACTGCATCATTCTGCCGTAATATTAAATTAGCGGGAAAAGCGCTCGGTGTCATAATTACAAATTCACCAATTATAAGATAAAAAACAACCAAAAAACGTTTCAAAAGCAAACTCACAATATGTGCACTGCTATACGTAACGATAGAAAGTTATGACATCCGAAAGAAATGGTAAGACATTCGCTTGGTGAAGACACTATTTCTAATTGTCTTTGTTCACTAGTACCACAGAGATGACAGTTTAAAATGTGGGAGGTGTTTCTGCTGCACCTTGTATTAGTGTACTCCAAAGTTATTCGTAAATGACATATATGATTATTAGTTCGGTTGAGATATTCGTCATTACAAACGCTTCCTCAAATCGCATATAATTTCTGGCTCAACAATAGATTCATCCAATAAGTTCGATTGGATTTTACTGTTACCCCCAAATCAATAAACTGCGATATTTCTCATTTCAAAAGCAGCCATAATGCAAAGACAAATCAACATGTTCGAATTTCTGCTGACGTTATCTTCCTAATATGGCCGCTCCGTTTTACTTATTCTCATATGTGTCTGTTTGTATGCATGTATGTATGTATGTATGTTGGAACTTTCGCATTCTGACCATGAGATCCGGGTTCGAATCTCAACATGGTTGATTTGTCTGGAGGGATCGATTCCAGTGTGCGTCACATTTGGAAAGTGCCTGACAACCATACCACGGGTTGACCCAAGCCTTGTGTGTGAAATTGGGTAGACAGAACCCTTGGGAACCGTCGATAGCGGTGCTGTCACGAAGTCACAAGTTATCCTGGCTGCGGGTTTAAGCGTCCTGTCCTTGTTCAAATTGTTGATATATAATATATAATATATATATATATATATATATATATATATATAAGACATTTTTATGATTATACATTCTTTTTATAGATACAAATATTTAAGTAAATGCTCTGTTTATAATAAACAGTATTAAACAACATTTACCAGCCTGAATGTCCGAGAAATTTTCACAGAAAATAGTCGTCCTCCGACAGGATTCGAACCTGTATCCTATACGGAACCGTCATTTTTGCTTGACGTGCCTTTACCGATTTGGCCACAGACGCGCGTTCGGTTAGCAAGGTCGAATTTACTGTATTTGAACTTCAATCTTCTATGAATCTCTCACGTACATTCATATCTGCTCATGGCGTATCAAATGTAAACAAATGACGTCACATATTGTGAAATGGACAACAAAGTCCGACAATTATTTTCTCGGACATTCAGGCCGGTAAATGTTGTTTAATACTGTTTATTATAAACAGAGCATTTACTTAATTATTTGTATCTATAAAAAGAATGTATAAACATAAAAATGTCTTAAAATAGTTGTCGGACTTTGCTCATTTTATATATATATATATATATATATATATATATATTAACTTTTAAAGGTAAAGGATTAAAATATTATTCCAGCACTTGTTCTATTTTGGCTGGAGTGTGTGGCCAAACCGGCCAGACACTCCGGAGAAGGATGGCAGTTCATCGCCAACAAATTAAGGATCGTCACACCAGAAAAATACCCCTTAGCCAACATACAGTGAAATGCGGAGGAGGAGGAAATCTACAATTTTTAATATCTTTCCATTCTACCGATGCAACTAAAAAGTCACGAAACAAAAGCGTATTAAAAAAAACATTTTTTTATCAACAAATTTAAAACAATACTCAGTTCATTGCATAAACCAAAGGCACTGCCTCAAAATAGATTCTACAATATTTTCCTTACGATAAGACATAAATCGAGTTACGATCCTTGGTTTTTTGACTTGTTCTAAACGCAATCATCAACATGTGAGAATATAAACAGTTACAAACAGTTACCATAGCGAGATATAAAGACAGATATGACCCTTGATTTTTTTTTAATTTCATTTTTTTCAAAACAAGCGTCAACAGTTACAAACTTTTGTAAAGATAAAAGCGAAACCGGTCAAAGCAAATAAAAAAAATAATTTAAATTAAAAAAGTAAAAACTTTTTTTCTGAAAACCTAAGTTAGACAATGTGATTTTAATATTTCTTTGTAGATATAAATATATATATTATAAATATTACATATAAATAAATATAAATATTAGGTGCTTTTTTACCAATTTATTATTTTCTCTCTCTCTCTCTCTCTCTCTCTCTATATATATATATATATATATATATATATATATATATATATATATCATATAAAAATTACAAAATACCATATAAAATCTATTAATAAATTCAATTAAAAGAATAGGTTAAAAATACAACCCAATCATAATTTTGGCGCGCCTTTAAGTAATCACCAAAAAACAAAAAGACAAAAGAAAAAAGCAAAACAAAAAAACAAAAATCAAACAAATAAACACCAAGAAAGATCGTAACTACAACATCAATCATTTACAGTTTTAGCAGATTGTAATAAAAAACAACGCAGTCTAATAAAATTAGCCATTTTAAGCAGACAAAAAAAAAAAAGGAAAGAAAAACAACCTAACCTTACGCGACTCCAAAAACTTGACATATAGCAAACATCCCTACTTTCATCAAAGCAGAGACCCCTTGATAATGAAGGACTAACCCCAGATTACACCTCCATTTAAAGAATTATAAATGAGTAAAACATTTCGTTGCTTAATTAATCCAAACGTCGCTTGAGGACGAAACGGTCATCCCTCAGTTAAGGTTTAATATTGAATTTAAACTTGAATACGGATGGCCGGTTTCGAAACATAGTAAAAAATAATTTTATATATATATATATATTGCCTTAAATATACAAACATGCATTCAGAAGAATAATACTTTGGAACTTAAATTTAAAAAAAAGGAAATTCGACAGAAGGATGCTGGCAATACCATGGAGCGAACCTGTGAGCAAAGACGAAGTTTTAGAGAAAATAAAAATAAAAAGGCCACTTATATTTAACATCAGAAAGAGACAGTTGAAATTTCTATAGCCCATAATGAGGAAAAGCTGGTTTAGAAAATTTGACACTCAAAGGCATTTTTTACAGTAAGGTTCGCCTGATAAAAAGACTCGGGTACCACTAGAGGTAGAGGGTTACATTAAGGGGTAGTTTATACAGATAGGAGGGGAAGATAACGGTTAACTTGAATCAGTTAAGAACGTATTGATCAGGGATAGATTTGCTTGGGAGTCTCTTCCACAGCGCAGTGGTTCCCGGGAAGGAGCTGTTCATTTGGGACTTAGATTTCATTAATGGAATACGGAGTAAATGCGGACGGTTTGCTACGATATAAGTGTCATGGCGGGCCCTGACCGTGAAGGTTAGATTTGGCTGAACCAAGGAATGTGGTTTATCCAAGCACTTTCCAGGGAAACTGTGTGAGGCTGGCAGGATGAGATCAAGGGTGGAAAATAATTCTTCCCCACACAAGGACTCGGAGACGCTTTTGAATTGTAGGCAGGGACAGAGCAATACAGCGAATAACCTAAGCTAAGAAGCTTGTGTAAAAGGTTAGCAGAACAGGGACTGGAAGACATAGGCAGCAAAAAATCAAACAGCCTCTAAGGAATGACTGCTGCTGGCTCTTTCAGTTTGCATAGCCGGCAAATAAGCTCTACCTTCTCCACCCACTCAACAACAGATAAGCCAGTGGAAGAACCATCAAACTCTGGGAGCAAATTCAAGCCGAATTGGCCCATGAGTGTTAACTTCATACAACATTTTTTTGTTCACAATTAGTGTCATATTGATTTTCTAAGTGTAGCCTAGATGTGGCACTACGCTGAAAATATATGGCACCTAGTGAGGATCGAAAACACTTTCAGTTTTAGAGAGAAAAAGCTTGCTAACGAGTTACACTACCCCGAGATGCCCAAAGTTATTTTCTAAGCGTAGATTAAATGTGGCGCACGGTCGAAAGTATGGGGCCTCAAGTGAGGGTCGAACTCACTTTCATTCGTAATTGGTCTATCTATACAAGCTTGCTAACCATCACAACACTCGGATGTGCCATAGTGTTTTTCCAAGCGTGGCTTTTTTGTGGCACAAGGACGAAAGTATGAGGCACCCAGTGAGGACCGAACTCACTACTCGATCGTAAGTGTTCTAGCGAGACAAGCTTGCTAACCATTACACCGCCTCAAGTTATTTTCCAAGCATAGTTAAGATGCGGGTCACCCAGTGAGGAACGAACACACTAATCAGTCGTAATTGTTCTATCGGGACAAGCTTGCCAACCATTACACCACCTCGAGGTGCCTAGTGATTTTCCAAGCGTAGCTCAGATGTGGCACAAGGCCGAAAGTATGCAGCACTCAGTGAGGAGCGAACACACTACTCGGTCTTAATTGTTCTAGCGAGACAAGCTTGCTAACCATTGAAATTTTCCAAGCGTAGCTTAGATGTGGTACAAGGCCGAAAGTATGGGGCACCCAGTGAGGATCGAACTCACTACTCAGTCGAAATTGTTCTAGCAAGACGAGCTTGCTAACCATTACACCACCTCGTGGTGCCCAATAGTGATTTTCCAAGCGTAGCTCAGATGTGGCACAAGGTCGAACGTATGAGGCACCCAGTGAGGACCGAACTCACAACTCAGTCATAAGTGTTCTAGCGAGACAAGCTTGCTAAACATTACACCGCCATGAGGTGCCCAAAGTTATTTTCCAAGCATAGTCAAGATGCGGGGCACCCAGTGAGGAACGAACACACTAATCAGTCGTAATTGTTCTAGCAAGACAAGCTTGCTAACCATTACACCGCCTCGAGGTGCCCAGTGATGTTCCAAGCGTAGCTCAGATGTGGCACAAGGAAGAAAGTATGGGGAACCCAGTAAAGAATCATTAGAGGTGCCATCAAAATTGGTGTTGTATGGAGAAATATTGCCTGTGAAAAGAATTCCTTGCTGTCAAGGATTTCGACACTTAGGAAATATTTCATTTTCTTTTTTCTACAAGAAAGGAACCAAGTCAAATACTGGAATGAAGGCTTGAATTTTAATTTTCTTTTACTCTGCATTAATGGTGAACCACACGGGAAATTCAAATTCTTTTGAACAACAAATGTTTGCGAGACATATATTTAAAAAAAAATAATAAATCTCGAAGTCGGACATTTTCCGAGACTTTCTGCCTCTTATGCAAATTTGATCTGTCACTCAATCTATAAAATTTCTATAAGAGGCGACAGAGCAGTGAGTCTGTGGTGTCGACGAGGAGGTTGCGGGCGTGTTGTTGGATTATTTAAATTACGCTACTCTGTCCGTTGAAGGAAACGAATTAGGAAAATTTATTACAAGCCATTGTTCCGAGATACAAAGGACAAGAAGTCTTAGCAAACCATGATCATCTACGTCGTGAAGAGACATACTACATAAAAGAAGTTGTAAAATCAAAAGTGATAAAAAGAAATATCTCATTCAATTGTATAATTTTTTTTTTTAGATTTGTTCATTTTAACGTCTCCAAAACTAAACTTCTCTCTATTAATCATCTGAGAGAATTCTCTCTGCTTTTCATCAGTATGGCTGATGCTAACCACCAGGAAAGTGACTTGTTGCGCCTTCTCTGGCTAACGATCTCCACTGACATGAAGTGGAAGAAAAAAAAACTATATTGAATCCATTGCTAGGTCAGCTGCTAAGAAGATTGGTTTACTGTGTCTCGCTAGAGAATCTTTCTCTCCAGTATTTATCTTACATATCTATAAGTCTACCATACGTCCATGCTTAGAATATTGCTGCCCCACATAGTATGGTAGTCCTGATTTGTGTATGGGGATCCTTGATAAAATCCAAAGAAGAATCAGCAATATTATCAGTCCTGATCTGGCGGCTCGACTTCAGTCACTTTCCCACCGCCCTAAAGTCGACTCCCCGTGTCTTTTCTATGAAGATATTTTTTTTAAATTTTGAGGCAATTTTCCTGAGAGATGGATGACTTTAAGTAACAATTTTATTAATCACATCCAAGTTATCTATCTGCATATATGGTAAAAAAGAAGACACACAGATCCCTTTGGTATATACACTTTACTCACGAACATCTTCCCACAAACTTCTATCTATCTATCTATCTATCTATCTATCTATCTATCTATCACATTTTGTTCATTATCTATCTATCTATCTATCTATCTATCTATCTATCTATCACACTCTTCATTATCTATCTATCTATCTATCTATCTATCACACTCTTCATTATCTATCTATCTATCAATCTATCACATGTTGTTCATTATCTATCTATCTATCTATCTATCACACTCTTCATTATTTATCTATCTATCTATCTATCCCATTTTGTTCATTATCTATCTATCTATCTATCTATCTATCTATCTATCTATCTATCTCTGTTCATTATTGTTATGGGATCTTACCCATAATAATAATAATGGACTATTCCATACTTAATAAATACTGCGCCTCAGTCAGTAGGCAAGGAATCAGTAATTCAAGTCGAGTCAGTAGTTCATATCGAGTCAAGAGTCGAGTCAGAAGCAGTCCGAAACAGAGTCGCGTTCAGACAATTACTGCAAGACATTGGAATAGTGATACTGGTCGAGACTACATTGTTCGCTCTACTAAACCTGATTGTTCATACTAACACTTCTTCTTACCTGTATATATTCCTGTTTGTAATATATCTGTGTTATTCCATACCTGTGTTCGCGTTCTTCTTTATTGGTTCTACCTTGGACTATCACCGTTGTACAAGGAACCGGACCATAACAAGTGGCGACGAAGATTCGAATTCATTCGGTGGAAGAAAAAAAAAATTCGTTCGCCACAGTATAACAATTGGCGACGAGGAAACCAACTCTCTATGCGGAGGACATACATTTTTTTTTTTTGCTATTCGTCGTGCATAACAAGTGGCGACGTGGAAACCCTAAGAGGGTAATACGAATCTAATCCTAAAAAAAAAAAAGAAAAAAAATTCTTTTTTTATATCAAATTTTCACTGACAACAAAGGAAAGTTTTTTTTTTGCGTGCACAGGCTACGTAATATCAGGTTACACACAAAAAAAAAAATACGTTAACATGGAAGATTTTAAGTCAACCATTATGGAACTTATCAAAATCCAATTTGAACAGCAACAAAGGTACGAACAGAAACATCTGGAATTGCAAGAATTATTGTTACGTGAAATGACAAATAAGGAGCAAAAATCGACGTTATTTGGAGTAATATCGAAGATTACAAGTATGCACCCGACGAAGATAAAACCTTTGCAAATTACTTCCGAAGGTACGAAGATCTATATGATTTTGACTGCAAAGATTGGTCAGATGAACGTAATGTACGCCTATTACTAAGAAAATTAGGCACAGGCGAATATGCCAAATTCGTAGATTATATCCTTCGCAGAAAAACAAGCGAGTTAACGTTCAAAGAATCCATAAAACAGCTAACGGAACTTTTCAGCCATAATACTTCACTATTCCATAAAATATGGAAATGCTTGAACCTTACAAAAAAGGACAGCGAGGATTGCATAACTTTCGCATCCATTGTTAAAAAATATTGTGACGACTTCAGATTATCGGAACTCAGCGCGGACAATTTCAAATGCTTAATTTACGTCCAAGGCCTGGTTTCAACCAAAGACGCGGAAATGAGACGCAGAATACGTACTAAATTGGAGAGTGAACAAGATCTGACACTTCAAAAACTAGCCGAAGACTGCCAGAGATGCATCAATGTGAAGAAAGACTAAAAAGTCATAGAAGAAGCTAGCATAGCACACGTACGCAAAGTACGAAGGCAAACAAATTTCCCTCCTCACAAACAAACCGAACCGATTTTCCCGCCTCAAGAACAGGTAAAACAAAATTTTCTAATTACAATCAACATAACAAAAAAACTACCACCCAGTCCATGCTATCGTTGTGGGTCTTGGCATTGGGTTAAAGACTGTACATATCGTTTTAAAACTTGTCTATCATGTAAAAAAATTGGCCACAAATGTTCTCATTGTTGGTATAGAAAAGAAAGCAAAACCAGAATAAGAATTACGAGGACTGATCAAACAGATGAGACTAATAGAAGAAAATATGTACAAGTTGAAATGCAAAACAGAAAAGTTAGGTTACAGCTGGATTCTGGCTCAGACTTAACTATGATAAAGCTACAAACACGGAGAAAAATGAACAAACCTGTCATGTTAAAAAACGGATAAAATTGCTAGATCAGTTACGGGAGAAAGATAAAATTCGAGGGTGAAGTAATTACAAACGTAACATTTAATGGAATGACGAAAAAACTAAAATGTACGTCTTAAGAAATACCGAAAACCTATTCGGAACAGACTGGATGCAAAAAATTCGAATTGTGGGATTTACCTATAAGTACGTACTGCCAAAATGTAAAAAAAGCTTATCAACCGAGGCAGACAAATTAAAAGGAAAAAACCAAAAAACGAGTTTCCCCTGAAGTATTTTCGGTAGGTCTCGAAGATGTAAGAAAATGGCAGCTAATATCGAAATAAAGGAAAACGTTCAACCTGTTTTCAAGAAAAAAAGGAGTGTACCGTTTGCGTCAATAGAAAAAATTGACCAAGAATTAACTAGACTCGAAAATACGGGCATATTGAAAAAAGTAGAATACAGCAAATGGGGCGCACCGACGGTCTACGTCAAAAAGAAATCAGGAGAAATTCGAGTTTGTTCTGATTTTTTTATAGGTTTGAACGCAGCAATAAAGGACTACGACTATCCTCTACCCAGTTCAGAAGAAGTATTCACTAAATTAAATGGCGGAAAATATTTTTCAAAAATTGATTTAAGTGAGGCGTACCTGCAAATTCCAGTCGATGAAAAAAGTTCAAAACTTCTATGCATAAATACACACAAGGGATTGTACAGATACCAAAGACTACCATTTGGAATTAAAGTAGCGCCGGCTATATTCCAACAGACAATGGATACGATGCTTGCCGGACTACGTGTATATTACATAAAATGCCAGATGGGACAATAAAACCTATCGCACATGCTTCTCGAACCCTACTACCAGCGGAGAAAAATTATTCACAAATAGAGAAGGAAGCTCTAGTAATCATCTTCGCTGTAACAAGATTCCATAGGTTCGTCTATGGTAGACATTTTACTCTGCAGACGGATCACAAACAGTTAATAATAATTTTTGGTTCAAAAAAAGGTCTACCGGTTTACACGGTAAATAGGCTACTTAGATGGGGAACGATTCTTCTGAACTACAATTTCAGATTGGAATATTTACCAACGAAAAGAAACGGGCACGCGGATGGCCTGTCGAGACTTATACCAACAAAGACAGAACCATTGGAAGATACGGTAATCGCAGCCCTAAGAAATGAAGAAGACATAAGGGAAGAACTATGTTGTACAGTCAGAAACATCCCAGTCACATTGCAAGACATAAAAAATGAAGCCAAAAATGACGAATTTATTAATGAAACAAAAGCAAAAATAGCAGAAAAAAATGAGCAAATTTCGGACAGCTTTTCTCTATGCGATAATGTGCTACTTTACAACGAAAGGGTTGTAATTCCCAAAACATTACAAAAGCGGGTCCTAAAGGATTTCCACAGGGGACACCCGGGTAAAAATAGAATGATGTCTTTAATGCGAAGCTATGTATATTGGAAGAATATGGACCAGGATATTACTCAGATGGTGGAAATGTGCAAGGGTTGTAATTTTGCAGCCAAAGCACCGCCAATCATACATAAGCCTTGACCAGAGACTGATCGTCCATGGTCAAGAATACACGCAGATTATGCAGGACCAATTGACGGGTTCTACTATTTAATCATAGTTGATAGCTACAGTAAATGGCCGGAGGTGTTTCGTTGCAAAAATCCTACTACAGAACCGACCATAAATTTCCTCCACTAGCTATTCGATCGGTTTGGTGTAGTGGACTGCTTAGTAACAGATAATGGAACGCAATTCACGTCAGCAGACTTCCAAGAGTTTTGTGAAATCTCTCAAGTAAAACATATAAAATCCCCGCCTTACCACCCAAGATCAAATGGACAAGCGGAGGGATTCGTGGATACACTCAAAAGAGCGCTATGAAAAGCGTACGATGTGCCTACGGAGAAAGCATTATAGCAATTCCTACAGGTATATAGAATAACGCCAAATAATTCTACACCATCAACATCAGAAATCGTGTTTGCAAGGTAAATTAAATCAGCGTTCGATAAATTACTACCAAGTAAAACAAAACAAGTAACACAGTCCTATGCACGAAAAAGAAAATTCCTCCCAGGAGAAAAAGTTTTTTTTAAGGCATATAAAAATAATACCTCTTACTAGGAGCAAGGCATAATTGAGAAAAGAATTGGTAATATGATGTACATAGTACAAGAAAAAAAAATTCTCACACAGAAACCAAATAAGGAAGAGACCGTTACAGAATGCTAACGGTCCACCTCAAGAAGAGGTATTGAACACGATTTTCGACATATTTGATATAAAAAGACCGCAAAAAATGCCAGAACCAAGAAAATCGTCTAGAAAAAGCAAATTCATTGAACCTTTGGAAAGAGATCCAAAGAAAAAAGATATTAAAAAAAACCCTGCTACGCAAAAGCTTCGGAAGGGGGTGGGTAGGGGGTCTTACCCATAATAAGAATAATGAACTATTCCATGCTTAATAAATACGGCGCCTCAGGAGTAGGCATGAAGACAGTCAGTAGTTCAAGTCGAGTCATGTGTCGAGTGAGAGGCAGTCCGAAACAGAGTCGCGTTCAGACAATTACTGCAAGACATTGGAATAGTGATACTGGTCGAGACTACATTGTTCTCTCTACTAAACCTGATTGTTCGTACTAACACTTCTATTTCTCTGTAGATATTCCTGTTTGTAATATATCTGTGTTATTCCATACCTGTGTTCGCGTTCTTCTTTATTGGTTCTACCTTGGACTATCACCGTGGTACAAGGAACCGGACCATAACACCTTTATTGAGTTCAATAGCTACCAGTCTATTCCTGTGCGTAGTTCAAGTCGAGTCATGTGTCGAGTGAGAGGCAGTCCGAAACAGAGTCGCGTTCAGACAATTACTGCAAGACATTGGAATAGTGATACTGGTCGAGACTACATTGTTCTCTCTACTAAACCTGATTGTTCGTACTAACACTTCTATTTCTCTGTAGATATTCCTGTTTGTAATATATCTGTGTTATTCCATACCTGTGTTCGCGTTCTTCTTTATTGGTTCTACCTTGGACTATCACCGTGGTACAAGGAACCGGACCATAACACCTTTATTGAGTTCAATAGCTACCAGTCTATTCCTGTGCGTCTCAACTAATGATTTTTACACATTGAGTGGTATTTTGTCCCATTCTTCTTGGCATATTGTCTT